CCCCCCCCACCCCCCGCAGGCGCGGAGGACGCTGGGAAATGTAGTCCGGCGCGGCGGGAGGGAGGCCTTCTGGGAGTTGTAGTGCCGCGCCGACGCTGTCACCGTGGCAACGGGGGAGGGGGGCGTGCCCGGCGGCGCCCTGCCGTGATGTCACTGCTGTGACGTCACGCGGCCTCACAAGGCGACAGGGGGCAGAGAGACCTTACCACAGGGCCGGGGGGCCGGCTTGGGCCCGGCCTCACTGCCGGGGGGGTCCGCAGGCCCCTCTAGCACTCCAGCCCTGGGGGAGCAGAGGGGACACCCCCGTCCCCAGGGAGGAGGTGCACCGCAGCGGGCCCAGGCTCTCTGTGGCCCCCTTCCCTCACAGCAGGGGCCCCGGCCACCACGGAGGCGGGTGGCACAGGCCACCGCGTGGAGCGGGAGCACCGGGGAGGCACCGCAACGCCGCAGGCTCCGGCCCGGAGCCCAGCTCACGCCCCACGAGGGGGGCTGCTGCAAGGCTGCTCTCCGAAGCCTCGGGGATGGCAGAGGCGGAGGAGCTCTGGTTCCGGATCAGAGAGCCATGCCTCAACCCGAGGCCGGCCGCCTTCCCCCCCCCCCGCAGGTGCTGGGGACAGGCTGTGTGGGGAGGGCAGCTAGAGGGGACCGTTTAATTCCCATCCAGCAGCAGCCAGCCGAGCCCGCGGCATTCACCCCCACGGGAGTCGGTGCTGAAGGGACTGGACAGAGCACCCGCTCGCTCCCACGGAGCACAGGACAGGGAGGGGGACGGCTGGCAGAGTTAGACGCATCGGCAAGAAAAAGAAAAAGAAGAGAAAAGAAGGTGCACACAGCCACCTTGAGAAGCGGGGAGCCCAGCCAGCGCAGCCCGAAACACCGACTCCGCTCCCCATCCCAGTACACGTCCACTGTTCACATCGACTCAATCGACTACAGCCGGAGGGATTAAGGCACGTGTATTTTTGTATTAACAGTCGCGAGGTGTATTTACATTATTTCCCTCACCGCTACGGTCAGGACAAACGCCAAACGACTTTCCTCTAGACGTACACAGGCTCCTTTCCTGAGCACGGGCGCACACAAGACAGGTAATAGCTGGCAAGCCCAGAGGAAGCTGGTTGGTATTTTCCAGTTCAAACATGGGACAGGCAGTCCTCAGCTGTGCTCCCGTGGAGGTGGACAGCAGCAATCATGCCCGTCACCACATCATTGGAAGACACCAATAATTTATTGAAATAAATACAGGTAACAAACCAAACAGCCTCTGGGTTTAAACACTACACGTACGTCGGGTACAATTTCTCTACGCTCTTGGGAAAAGCATGGTGATACACTGATTTTTTGGCCACGTGAGCCTTTGCCAAGTCCGGAGCAGCCAGATATGTGCTGGAGATCGGAGGTGGAGGCTCCCAACTTGTCACGCATTGGGCTTCGTTGTAGGAAGGAGTTCGGTTTCAGGAAGATTGATTTCTTCTTTGCACACGTACGTCGGGTACAATTTCTCTACGCTCTTGGGAAAAGCATGGTGATACACTGATTTTTTGGCCACGTGAGCCTTTGCCAAGTCCGGAGCAGCCAGATATGTGCTGGAGATCGGAGGTGGAGGCTCCCAACTTGTCACGCATTGGGCTTCGTTGTAGGAAGGAGTTCGGTTTCAGGAAGATTGATTTCTTCTTTGCAAGAGTGATTTTTTTTTTTTTTTTTTTTTTTGAACAAAAAAAGGCTAAACCCCAACCCTTCTGGC